CATTTCTTCAAACAAAATACGCAAATGGTCAGTAAGCACATCAGTGATGTTCAACTTCAATAATAATCAGAGAAATGCTAATCACACATATCACCTCATACCCATTAAGATGGCTACTATGAAACAACAACAAAAATAACAAGTGTTGGTGGGGTATAGAGAAGTTAGCACCCTCCCACGATGTTAGTGAGATTTAAAATGCTACAACCACTAAAGAAAACAGTAGAGCAATTCCTCAAAAAAGTAAAAATAGAACTATCTTATGATACAGCAACCTCACTTCTGGGTATATATCCAAATGCGGGGTCATGAAGAGATATTTGTGCACCCATGTTCATGGCAACACTATTCACATTAGCCAAGAGGTAGAAACAGTCCAAGGGTCTACAGACAAATGAATGAACAAAATGTGATGTATGTGTGTGTGATACTATGCAGCCTTAAAAGGAAAGAAAAAATCCTATCATATGCCACATATAACATGAATAAACCTTGAGGCTTTACCATTTCATTACGCTAAGTGAAATAAGTTGCAAAAGGACAAACTATATAATTCCACTTACCAGAGACATCTAAAGTAGTCATATGGTAGATATAGCAAGTAAAATGTTGGTTACCAGGAATTGGGGGTGGGGTAAAGGGAAACTGCTGTTTAATGGGTATAGAGTTTCAGTTCTGTGAGAAGAAAAAACTCTCGAGATTTGTTTTGCAACAATGTAAATATACTTAACACTACTCAATGGCACACTTAAAGATGGGAAATTTTATAGTATGTGTTTTTTAACCACAATTTAAAAAACAGCTATCAGTCCACAAAAAGACATGAAGAAACCTTAAGTGTATGTATATTGCTGAGTGAAAGAAGCCAATGTGGAAAGGCTATATACTATAAGATTCCAACTATATGACATTCTGGAAAAGACAAACCTATAGACAGCAAAAAGTTTAGCACTTACCAGAGCTTTGGGGAAGGAAGCACAGGGGACTGTTAGAACAGTGCCACTCTTCTGTGTGATACTGGAATGGTAGGTAGCTACATGACATTAGGCATCTGTCAAAACCCACATAATGTACAACATAGAGGGAAGCTTGAAGTAAACTATAGGCCTTAGTGAAAAATGACGTATCAATATAGGCTCATTAACTGTGAGGACTGTACCCCACTGACAGCAAGATGTTAAGGATAGGAGAGCATGAGGAAGGAGGGACAGAGGGTGGCATATGGAAAATCTCTTTACTATTGCTCAAATTTTTCTGTAAGCCTATAAAAACTGTTCTAGAAAAAAGCCTATTAATTAAAAACCTGGTAAAACAAAAGAAAGGGGAAAACGATAGGAATTTCTGGTCTGTGCACAGCCCCGACCTGGGCAATAAAAAAAAATAGTCCCTGGGCTTGGAGCCCATAGCACAGTGGTTAAGGCGCCAGCCATATACACTGAGGCTGGCAGGTTCAAACCCAGCCTGGGCTAGCTAAACAACAATGACAATTGCAACAAAAAATAGCAGGCCATTGGGTGGTGCCTGCGGCTCAAAGGAGTGGGGCACTAGCCCCCTATACCTGAGGTGGTGGGTTCAAACCCAGCCCCAGCCAAAAAAAAAAAAAAAAAAGCTAGGCGTTGTAGCAGGCACCTATAGTCCCAACTGCTTGGGAGGCTACAAGACGATTGCTTCTTAAGCCCAAGAGTTAGAAGTTACTGTGACCTGTAACGCCATGGCATTCTACTGAAGGTGACATAGTGAGACTCTGTCTCAAAAAAAAGAAACAAAAACAGTCCCTGCTGCTACTCTGAGCTTGTGGCCAAGTGCTGGACTTTGAAACCCAGGGGTGGTCACAGGAAATTCTGGGGAAGAACTAAGCTGAACATCAAAGGCCAAGCAGAGCTTATGCCAGGAAGGGAAAGGTATTCAAAGTAGATGGAACAGCATTAGCAAAGGTGTAGGGACAGGAACTTGCTGGTATATGACATCAGGGGGAGGAGAGAGCCACAAGGGTAGCAGGAACAGAGGGGACAGTGAGCAAGGACACAGGTGGACAAAGCAGGAGGCCTGCCTGGAGAGCACCCCAAAAGTCAAGGCTCCCCAGCACATCTCAGCAGGCCCCAGGGTTCTGTGCCACTGCTGGCAATGTGTCCCAGTAGTGTGCCAAGAAGGCACCAGGCACTGTCCTAGAATTAGCTCTTTAACACTACCCAGCTCTACAGTCTTAGGTTCAATGGGCTGCTCAGGGACAGATGGAGATCAGACAGGTGAGGACAGTGGGAGAAAGTGGGCAAGGACGGTGAGGACCAGAGAGGGGACAGAGAAGAACAGAGATGGAGGACAGTGACCACAAGGGACAGAGAGAATTGGACACCAAGGACACAGAAACAAGGCAGCAAGAGACAGGACACGGGAGAAATGGAGGTAGGAGAAAATCCCAAGGCGCTGTGGGAGACACGGCCGGGGTTTCAGCGCCAGCTCTGCACTGAGGGCGCTCTCTCTCTCTCTCTCTCTCTCTCTCTCTCTCTCTCTCGGGCCCTGCAGCAGCACACACACACACACACCCCACCCTACCCCAACTCCCAGAGAGAGCTTCCTGCCAGGGTTCATAACAGCACAAGGAGCTGCCCGGTGGAGGGCTCACTCAAGAGTGCAGAGCAGCTCCAGGCCAGCCATCACGAGGCCCGCACGCCCCCTCGTGGCCAACGTGTTCTCCTTCCCCCTGGCTGGGTCCTGGGAGGTGGGGCTGAGATGGAGCCCAGTCATGGTGGGGTAGCTTCCCCATCGCTGGGAACCACATATATTGTCAGAGGAAGTGCGGCCCTCACGCTCCACTGCACAAACCCAGAGTCAGGGCGCAACCACTGGGGTGATCAGTGCACCAGCAGCTTCCAATGCTCAGAACAAGCCCTTACCCTTTGCACACCCAGGGGCATCTCCACCTGGTCCTATGGGTAACCCCACACTGCAAGGGACTCCAGTGTGATGCACATATATCCAGGATCCCCAAGTGCCCCCTCTATAGCAAAGCCAGGCAGCAATGGATGCAAGGCTGAGATCCCATCGGTCCTGGCATGTGCTGACAGATGTGGGTAGCTTGGAGAGATGCCACCTCCCCACAGGTAGAAACCTAGGCCTGGGAACCAGACCTCGGGGAGGAAGGGAAGTCACCACCACACTAAGCATCACTCTCATCACCCACTTGGAAAATCTGTGCTTCCTATCCCTGCAACTTTAAGCTCTGCATCTAGTGTGGCAAACAGGAGTTCCATGGGCTTCCACTCCTAACTCCTCCTTGCAAGAAACCAGCAGCCAAGGAAAGAAGTGGTCCTCCCAGTAGATCACAGAACTGCCATCACACAGATGGGTCTCTGGTGACCTACAGCCTTGCTTGGTGTCCCTCCTTGCCCAACTTTGATGGTAAATGGTCTCAGACCCCCAAGGAGGGGGGCTTGGACCAACACACCAGTAACAGGGAGCAGAATAGATCTCTGGAAAAAAAGGGGAGGTCATAGCCTCAAAGCAGTCACCTTTGAGTCCTGCTGAGACTTTGCCCAGGCTGTCTTCTGTGCCTGGGACACCTAATGCCTCCTTCTCAACCAGAGCTCATCCTTCGAGAACTGGCCCTGAGCCCACTCTCCTGGGAAGCCAATCCTAGCAAAGCTAAGCCCCAACACATAGAGGGGCCACAGCCAAGCCTTGTTACACCTTGACCCCCAGGTCTTAGGCCAGTGTCTGGAACCCACAATTCAGAGAACACAGGGGAAAAGTGATAAAGACTAGGAAATGCAGCTTCCACAAAAGCAGGGTAATGAAGAAAGCTGGAAATAAGGTCCCTGCAAGTATTTAGAACCACAGGTACAGGGGCACTCACAGCTGGTCACCTTCTCCTTCAGCCAGGTCCTGTCCTCTTCCCCTTCCTCCTCCATTCCCTCACCCCTACCCATTCTTCACCCAGAGCACTCCACCTAAAAGGTCACAAAGTGGCCCATGTCCCCCAGAGATTTAACACCACCTCCTGGGAAGCCCCTGGCCCAAGGTCTCAGGCCCCAACCCTGCCTTGGCTTTCCTCCTCTACCTGTTCCCTGCAGGCTATTATCCTGCAGGCCACCCTTCTCGATTACTCCTGAGGCCCCCACTGCCCAGTAAGCAAATCCACGCCACCACCACCTTTTAGCCTAGAGTCTGGTGAGAGCCCCCCAGGTCAAGATTCAACTTACACTTCCACTCAGACATCTCCAACTACTGCCAGCTCCATTATGTACCTATTGCTGCCCCTGGAGCAGGAGCAGGGCCCTGTTCAGAACATTACCCTTTAGCTGCCATGCCTACCATGTGTCCCATCTCCTCTCTGGTGGGCCTCTCCTCCTGAGACCAGAAGCCAGCCCTGTGACCCACCACGCCTCACACCCCTGCCCTCTACCATCCGTTTACCCCCTTCTCCCAAAGGGCTTCCGCACCCAAGCCCTGTCTCAGGATGGCCCTCTCCCCCAAAAGTTCCTTCTCGTAGACACTGCCCACCCTGCCATGCTTTGTCCACAGGATTCCAAATGCTTATCTGCTTACCTCTTGGTGCCGCCTGCCTTTCTCTGGCCTCTTACATCTCTGCTTTCTCATTGCCCCAGTAGGATAAGTACAACCCTTACTCACCAGCCTTGGCACGTCCCTGCCTTGCCCCTAAATTCCCCAGACTCTTCAAACATCTCAAAGCACCATATCCCTCTCTCAGAGCACATGTCACAGGTCTGCTCATCCATGCCTAGCAGCATGAGGCTAATATGAGCCTCATGGGAAGAAAGGCAGCTGAGACAAACCAGACAGGTGGCCAGGTGAGGCTGGCTGACAACAGAAATGGATACTGAACAGCACAAACTAAGTACTTGCACCAGGCAATATGGAGTTCTTAACTGACAGGGACCCAGACTTAGGCAGGATGGGAGCTTCCAGATGCAGATATGAGCAGGAGGCACAGCCCCAGGTGCCTATACAGAGCACCCCAGCATTCCCACCTGCCAGCTCACCTTACATGCAGTGCCCACAAGGGCTCCATCTCGGCTCCAGATGGCACTCTGCACCATGTCCCTGTGGGCCGCCAACTCTGCAGAGAAGCAGCCAAGGTAAGGGCCTGGGCAATGAGGGCACCAGGGAAGTAGGCACAGGTGGGCCTGGCATGGGGCAACTCCCACCACGGGAAGCACAGAAGCTTGGGAGGTCCCTTTCAGCTGGAGGAAGCTCCTTCCAAATATACTGCACCCACAGGCTTCTTCCCTCCACCCTGCCCTCATCTGACTGTGTTGCCACCCAACAACCTTCTAAGGCTCCCTGCTCCATGGCCCAGTTCTACTTTCCTCGCAGGCTCACTTTTGGTCACTCCCCCAAATCCCCCCACCCCACAGGGTCACTCTTGCTGTGGGCCTCAGCTCCTGCCATCTCTGCTGAATTCCCATAGGGTGGGGTGGTAAAATATGTCCTCTGAAACTCCTGTTACAGGTTGAATTGTGTCCCCCTGCCCAAAATGTTAAAGTCCTAATCCCCAGTATCTGTGAATGTGACTTTGACTACAGAATCTTTGCAGATGTTCAAGTTAAGCTGAAATCTGCAAAATGCCCTTATGAAAAACAGAGAGATGTACGCAGAGGGAAGTCTACATGAAGACATAGAGGAGATAACCATGGATAAGCCAAGGAATGCCTAAGGCCACAAAAGCCGGAAAAAGGCTAGAACAGACCTTCCCTCACCTCAGGAGGAAGTGACCCTGCTAACAACTTGATCTCATACTTCTGGCCTTCAGAACTGAGACAATAAATTTTAAGCCACCCAGTTCATGGCTTTTTGTTATAGTGGCCCTAGGAAACCAATCTACCTTCATTCAAAACATGGAGCTGGCTTGGCGCCCGTAGCACAGTGGTTACGGCTCCAGCCACATGCACCAAAGGTGGCGGGTTTGAATCTGACCCAGGCCAGCTAACCAACAATGACAACTGCAACAAAAAATAGCCGGGTGTTGTGATGGACACCTGTAGTCCTAGCTACTTGGGAGGCTGAGGCAAGAGAATCGCTTGAGCCCAGGAGTTTGACGTTGCTATGAACTGTGACACTATAGCACTCTACTGAGGGCAACATGGTGAGACTGTCTCGAAAAACAAAAACAAGGGCAGCGCCTGTGGCTCAAAAGGATAGGGCACTGGCCCCAAATGCTGGAGGTGGTGGGTTCAAACCAAGTCCCGGCAAAAAAAAAAAAAAAAAAAAAAGGCAGAAACATGGAGCCTACTCTTGGGTATAAGCAGGACTTAGTGACTTGTATCTAACAGAATCTGCTGGAAATGATAGCATGTGGCTTCTTCTTCCTCCTTGTTCCCTTTCTCCTGGACTGTTCACTCTGGGGGAACCAGCTGTCACATGGCAGGGCACTTAAGTGCTCATAGGACGAAGGCATCTGGTGAGGGCACCATCATGGAAGCAGCACCTCCAGTCCCAGGAAAGCCTTCAGATGGTGGCTGCCTCACAAAAGACCTTGAGCTGGAACCACACACCTAGGCAACCCCAAAATACCTGCCCCTCAGGAGCTATCAGATAATTGTTTATAGTTGTTCTAACTGTCTACATTTCAGTTGTTCTAACTGTCTACATTACATTTTAAGGTAACTTGTTCTGAAGCAATAAATAACCACATACTGAGATTTACTCTCCTGGAATTAATGTCAGCCCAGCCCTGTCACCCACTTGCACTGTGGCCTTGGCTAAATTAATCTCCTGAGCCTCATCTGTACCACAGGAATGACACCTTCTTGGGGCTGCTGTGAGGGCAAAAGTGGAGAAGGGTCATCAAGCTCCCATGGCACCTTCTATTTTGTGCCCTTGTTCCCCCTTAGCACAAGACAACTCCACAATGGGCACCAGGTGAATTCCCAGTGACCAGTGCTGTCAGGAGGGAGTCTCCAGGACTCCTGATTGTACTCTTCACAGCCCCCAGTTGGCAGGGCACAGGCCTCTAGGTTCCAGCCCTGGAGAGTGGGTGCTTAGTCCACTCTGGACATTATGCACAACTCTCTGGGACAAGTATATTCCTCGATTTTTTTCAACTCTCTGAGCTACTGTGGCTTTACCTCTAAAACAGTGATTGGCATGTCAGGGAGGACCCTTGGCAGAGAAATGCGTGAGGTCATCACAGTGTACCTCTGAGCTCAGATGCCTGTCACACAAGTGCAATCATGACCCAGGGGGATGACCCAGTGTGTGATCACCCACCAGGAGGCTGGAGGAAAATGTGCATGTGGGGGTGATACTCCAGCAGCAACAGCCTCCTCTACCACAGTGAGAAGTCAATAGTTTCTTTACAAAACTGAAAACAATTTCTAGAAATAAATGTAAGGAAGTTATTTAGAAAAATGAGGAAAAGGCTCGGCGTCTGTGGCTCAAGCGGCTAAGGTGCCAGCCATATACACCTAAGATGGCAGGTTCGAATCCCCAGCCCAGGCCCGCCAAACAACAAT